TTTAGTCCCTTAAGTCACCAATAACATATTTAAAAGTGACTAATTAAGACAGTTATGCAATATCAACTGAATTTAATATGATATTTTTCACTAATAGAGACACTAATAAGTAAATTTTATGCAATAATATTTTATAAATTTCTTAACAAAATTTGAATATAAGGACTAAAATAAGATTTTTTGAAATTATAAGAAATAAAAACAGCAATTTTAAATTTGAGGGACAAAAAATAAATTTACCCTAAATTTGAGGGTCTAAGCCTTATTTTTAATACTATATAACTATTAAATTATTACAAAATAAACCTTAAACAGACTTGTAGGTTCAACCAGAATGTTATGTAAATCATATTTGAGCTTTTAATATAGACTTGCAACAGATAAAATGATCGGACTTAAACCAAATATATTCAATTAAGCCTAAGCCAATGAAAGTATAACTCAACTTAATCTATTTCCACACTTATTCGTAAGGTAAGAATGTTAAATAAGGCAAGGTTGGGCAAGTGCCAATAGTAATTCTTTGTACATATAATATACAAATATTTATAAATATCTACATATTTTGTGTGTGTAACTTGTATCCACTTGTTTTTTAGAATGAGAAAATTAACAAATTATACTTGAGTGTATTTTAAAAAATACTGTCATTGTAATTTACTAATGTACTCCTTTCAAATAATTTAAAATATATATTTATGCTAAAAATAACTTAGATCAATTTATTTAATATGTAATTAAATATATTTAAATAATTTAAAAGTGTGGTACATGTAAATACCTTATTACTTTCCCCTTCTAATTAATTTTTAAAATATATTTATGCTAAAAATAAGTTACATCAATTAGTGTGGTACATACAAATCCATATACCTTATTACTCGCTTCATTCCATTGATAAGTAATTGATGTATATTAATCAAAACATATTATTTGTTAATTTAAATTTATATAATAAATTATTATATAAATGGTTGAATTTCTTTAACATAGTAACATAATTAAAAAAATTCTTTTTATGAACAATCTAATGTAAAACTTTTTTTTTATAATAGGAATGCAATAATTTTTCTAACTTTATATATAATTAGAGAAATTTTTTATATATATAATTTATAAACTTCATATATAAATTAAAAAAATTATAAATTATTAATGCGTAAACCCTTTTTCTTAGTCAATTTGGAAAGTTAATCATCATGTAAGAGTCAGGGGTTGCTTATTTAAAATTCTTGACTTCTTGGTTGTGCAGACACAGGATTCACCTTCAAATAATAATAACAAAAAAAAAAAAGAGTAGAGACCAATACAGACAATAATAATGTAATTACAAGTAACTAAAAATATATTTAACTCTTGAAATAATTTACTAAACATAAAATAAGCTAATATTTTAGTTTGTATAATATATACATATTTATTATTATATATAATTAAATTTATAATAAATTATATATAAGTAAAATATTATATATAATATATAAAGAAATATTTTAGAGTTATATAGTAAAAATATCTGGATTCCACTGCAGAGTCCTTTAGAAAAAAATAAAATAGAAAGAAAAAAAGGGTACTTACTGGGGTATGGTATGAGCAGGGTAGGCGTGGAATGACTTTGCGGCCAGAGGAAATCATCGGTGGCAGCCGCAATTGAGGCAAATTTTTGAGAAAGCGAGAAAAGTGCCCCATCTACTTTGGTGGTGGGATAAGGTTTCCGTGGAGACGACATTCTATTGTTTAATTTATTATTATTATTATTTCTATAAGAGGCTAATCAAGCTTGCACGCTCGCCTCAACTCAACCCTCTGCCTCATTTCTCTGCGTTGAATCTTTCAAGTCCAAATCCATTAGGCCCTATATGTTCTATGTGCAAGACAAAGATGGCAATCGACGCGGCCAGCCCCACCCGAACCTCTCGCACCGAACAACGCGCCAACCAAAGCCCAAGAACATCCTCCTCCAGGCCCACTCCGGGGCCCATCGCTTCTTTCTCAGAGAAACCATCCACCTCAAGCAGCACCACCACCACCGCGCCCTACACCGGCTCCACCGGCTCACCGACATACTTTAATCATTGATTAGAAAGGAAATTAGATCTAATGATGAAAATAATTCATTTGCTCAAGGCCATAACAAAAGTTGAAATTACAGATCTGGCCCTCCCCTCCTCCCGCATGAAACGTTAAGAAGCTACTGCACTTCAAAGAAATTATTACAAGCATGAAATTATGATTTTAATTAGTATCTATGTAAAATGTTATTATATATTTTTTCGTTGAATAAAAAAAATAAACCATATACTACATAAAAATCGATCGAGATTATAATGGTGACGCAACTAGCTAGGGGAGTTCAACATGGGGCATCATCATGGTGGTTTTACCGTTTGAATTCTTAACACTCACGATAGGTAGAAGGTGGAGATGCTAATTAAAGAACATATTTTTTTAAGTACTTGATTATAATTATATGGTATTAAGTTAAATTGAAGTGACAAATAATTAGGATGCATGAATGCACCAAACTAGGCAATAAGCATACTATAATCGGTCATGTTAAGTTATTCTCAACCACTCTAACGAAAACAGTCGTTCTTGGAATTTTGCTTTAATTATACGCGTGCGTGTGTTCTATTTTGTGCGATCAATTTTTTTTTAAATAAAGAATAAAATTATGTGACATAAATTTTCTCATCAATTATTGACTGAGTTAATTAATCCAACTGATTATTTTTCATGCCAACTAGATATTTATAAAGATTATGAATTAACGAATTATTCAATATGTATTAAAAATGAAAAAAAAACGAGTGATGTCCAATATCATCCAATCACAAACATTCATATATGGTAATTTATTAACTTTTACTATAAATAAAAAATTTATATCAATAATATATTTGAGTGGATGATAATATATCACCATTAAACTCAATTATTATAATAAATATAAATAAAAAAACTCATTATAATTAATCCACATAGAAAAATATTACATTTATCTATTTTATCTTATATTAAATCTACACTGCATAATAGTGAATTTTCGAAGAGTTTAATAATGATGTATTGATAATATAAAATAGTTTTATATTGTTATTTAATCAAATATAAAGTTTTACTTACTTATAAAGGGTGATTATAATTAATTAATAGTATAAAATTATTATAAATTAATAAATAAAAATTGTCATGTTGACATTTAAATATATATATATATATATATAATTGATAAATCATTCATAATGTTAGAATTTCTTTATGTAAGTGTTAAAACAAATTGTTACTCCTTTTGAACTAAATTTTTTACTTTGTCACTATTAAAAAATAAATTATTTTTAATTAGGTGTTATTTAACAAGATTTTTTTTAGAAACTTAGCATAGGTAATAGAATAGCGAGATAAGTGTCCGGTAGAAGTACATAATTTGAAGAAAAAAAACACAAGTAAAGTAATGTTACCCTATCTCTGTATTGAATAGTGGAAAAGAAGAAGATGGGATGTGCCGTGGCCCGTAGTAAAAGATGGTGACAGCTAATGTTATATCAAAATTGGCATATTTAATGCGTACGATTTGGCTGTTGAAATGCCCCGAATCAGAAACCTGATAAGCAGTGAACACATTGTTGAACCACGTGGATGGGTCAGGTTTGGGTTTTGGTTTTCTATGTACGACACTGTCCACACCTCAGCCATAACACCAACATACAATTTCTCTTATTAATGCTGATTGGATGGATATCCATACATGCCCACAATACAACCTTGCAAATTACGTAAAACGAAACTCCTTCCTATAAAATTAACAAAATTATTTTTTAATGCATTGTTTGGTGGTGAAGAATAATTTGTAAAGATAGAAAATATGTAAGAAATGATTTAATAAAAAATAAAGTAAAAAATAAAATGTAAATTATAGTTGTATAATAGAATAAAATTAGATAAATAAAAAATAAAAAAAATACGAAAATTTTAAATTGTAACGACCCGTCTGACCGTCACACAGCAAACAACACCACGCTGAATAGAACATACATATATAAATATAAAATATATACACATATGTCTAGCCTCGGGCTCAAATCAATTTACAACATATATCAAAATAGCTACACTAAGTAGCCAAAAACAACAAACATCAGCTCCATCTGCTAGTTACAGACCTGCCTCAACACACCAACCTATCCCTGCTCTGCTCCCATACATAGTATGATCATTGCAGTCCAAATCACATGGAAACAACAAGGGTAAGCTAGTGAAAAGAATCAACATATATATATAATTACAAAAATTATAAACAGTTACAGCTTATCATCGCATCATCAAGTTCAGCAAGATCAACATATAACACATCACATATACAGCTCACATCATTCAGCAAAAACAACATTAAACAAACAATGCGTCGTCACGCATATCAGCTCGAAGATCTCTTACAACAGCTCAGTCATACGACCTACAACAGCTCAGTCTTACGGCCTACAACAGTTTATATCAGCATTCAACACAGCACAACATAGTAGCATTAACGACATACAACATACGGCACAGCTCAACTTTTACAACAATACATCTTAAATATCATAATTCAACATGAACATCTCACACCACAACACAATAATCACTCAGCTCGACAACATTCATCATTAACAGCTTAAATCAACATATATCAACATATATCAGCATGTATCAGCATATACCAGCATATACAGAAAGAACACATTCGCGCCCGGCACACTCATGGTTGCACCGGCGTGGCCCAACCAGGGAGCTTCAAGGCTCAAACGTGCCCAACGTAATACCAATTGCGCCCAGCGCAAACGAAGGCAGAGGCTCTCAGGAGCCTCACGCGCCCGGCGTACCAAACTCACGCTCGGCGCAGGGAAGGCAGAGACCTCCCCAAGGTCTCACGCCCGACACAATACCAATTGCGCCCTGCGCCACCCCTGGCACAGACTCCCAGGGAGTCTCCACGCCTGGCGAGAAGTAAAAATATCTGGATTCCACTGCAGAGTCCTTTAGAAAAAAATAAAATAGAAAGAAAAAAAGGGTACTTACTGGGGTATGGTATGAGCAGGGTAGGCGTGGAATGACTTTGCGGCCAGAGGAAATCATCGGTGGCAGCCGCAATTGAGGCAAATTTTTGAGAAAGCGAGAAAAGTGCCCCATCTACTTTGGTGGTGGGATAAGGTTTCCGTGGAGACGACATTCTATTGTTTAATTTATTATTATTATTATTTCTATAAGAGGCTAATCAAGCTTGCACGCTCGCCTCAACTCAACCCTCTGCCTCATTTCTCTGCGTTGAATCTTTCAAGTCCAAATCCATTAGGCCCTATATGTTCTATGTGCAAGACAAAGATGGCAATCGACGCGGCCAGCCCCACCCGAACCTCTCGCACCGAACAACGCGCCAACCAAAGCCCAAGAACATCCTCCTCCAGGCCCACTCCGGGGCCCATCGCTTCTTTCTCAGAGAAACCATCCACCTCAAGCAGCACCACCACCACCGCGCCCTACACCGGCTCCACCGGCTACAGGCTATCCTCCGACACCTCCATCTCCAGCCGCACCTCCCTCACCTCCCTCCGCGACACGCTCCCTGAGAACCCTCACATCTACCAATTCTCCGAAATCTGCGCCGCCACCAACAACTTCCTCGCCAAGCGCCACTCCTCCTCCACGCCCTGCTGGCGCTGCACGCTTCGCGGCGCCGACGTCATTGTCTTCCAGCGCAAGTTCCGCCGCATGCTCCAAACCTCTCAGCTCCAGAACCTCCTCGCCATCGTCTGCCGCAGCCACCACGTCAGCATCATCAAACTCCTCGGCGCCACGGTCTCCGGCGACCACATCTACCTCGTCTACGACTTCGTCCACGGAGCCAGCCTCTCCGACTGCCTCCGCAGCAAGAACAACGCGCACTTCACCGTCCTCTCCACGTGGATGTCCAGAATGCAGGTCGCCGCGGATCTCGCTCACGGCCTCGATTACATTCACAACAAAACCGGTCTGAACATCAACTTCGTTCACAGCCACATCAAGACCAGCGGAATCATCGTCACTGAGCCTTCCTTCAACGCTAGGGTTTGCCACTTCGGCACCGCGCAGCTCTGCGGCGAAATCGACCTCCAGACCGACAAATTAAGCGAAATCCGCGAGGAAACGCCTTCTCCGGCGAGATCCAAGCAATTCGAGGGCGTGCGAGGGTACATGGCGCCGGAATTTCAAGTCTCCGGCGTCGCCACTCAGAAATCCGACGTGTACGCTTTCGGAGTGGTGATATTGGAGCTTTTGTCCGGGGAGGAGCCGTTGAAGTTCAGGTTCGACGAGAAGACGCGCGGTTTCGTGAAAACGTCGGTGATCGAGGCGGCAATGGCCGCCGTAGATGGCGGCGAAGGGAGGCTGAGGAATTGGGTGGATCGGAGATTGAACGATTCTTTTCCGGTGGATGTTGTGGAGAAGTTGACACGTGTCGCGCTGGAGTGCGTACACGTGGATCCAGATAAGAGGCCCAACATGGGACGCGTCGCTGGCAAGATCTCAAAGTTTTATTTGACCTCTAGGAAGTGGTTCGATAGCATCAAAATGCCTGATATCACCGTTTCGTTGGGTCCTCGATAATGAGTTCTTAATGTTGGCGGCTTTGTTTTTTAATTGGTTCAATTCAAGAACTGTATAGAGGAAATTAACATTGTTTTTGGTTTAGGGTTTCTCATACCCTAGTGATTGATTGGTTCGTGGTTCGATTGTGACACGAGTTGTGGAATATGAATATTTTATAGACAGTGTTACTTTCCGAAAGATGACCAAAATTTTATAATTCCAATTTGTAGATACTCTTTAGCTTATGTTAAAACATGCGCTTTATTTATTCCACCAGAGTTGGTTTCAATTTCGAAGGTCGAATAACTAATGTTGGATATGGTACTGAATATGTGCATTTTCATTTCGCAATGGCAGAGGTATTATTGATTTTGACCAGAAAAGTCTCCCCTTTCGCAATGGCAGAGTTTGAACCAGTATTTAGGATCTACGTATTATCCTACTTGGTCCATCATGCAGTTAGTCTCCCCATTATTTAAATGAAAGTAACTCGTGTTTATAAATATGCTCTATCAAATTATATATAAAAAAAAGTCAACTATTTTTTAGGCTGCCTTTGATTCAGTCGATTTCGAAATCAATGCTACCAATTCTTTATATTCAACGATTTTTTTAAATAACCATACAAAATGGACGAAAACTAAAAATTATTTTTACTTTATTAAACAATTACATTTCTTCAATAACCTTTATATTAGCATAATGTTAAAAATTAAATAATATGCACGGAGTTTTAAGTTTATTTATTTTTTATTATTAAGGAGTATTCTTTATGGAATACGAGAATAATCTCTATTAGAACATTGATAAATACTAAATAGATGGACATCTCTTCTCAATTTGAGTTTTCTGCATTCACAACAATTAAGATTTAAATCTTGATCAGAATTCGAACCTTCATCACTTAGTTAAAAAAACATAAATATCTAGTCACTTGCACCAATCAAAATTAGTAATTTTATTTATATCTATTATAAAAGGAATATCAGAATTTGTAATTGTTTCGGTATCGGAGATCACTGTTGAAAAATTCTTAGCAATACAATGCTAAAAAAACCTATAGTAACAGTCCTATGCCTAGAACATTCGATGAGTGTGACCTAATTTCCTAAACTTTATCATCTCTATATATATATATATAGTAATATGGTGTTACAAATATAATTCTCACACTTTTCACTATGATTCCATAAATCCTGTTTTATTATGAACTCGCAAATCTTGATATTTATGACTATTATCTTGTCCATCTTGCGAATAGCAGGATCTTATTGATGGTCTAGGTCTGCAAGTAAATCATCTCATAGATCTGAATCCTTGTACATATAAATTGAGACCTTCTCAATATATATACTGTTCGTCATTTGTGTCATATAAATTGAGACCTTCTCAATATAAATATGTTCTTCATTTGTTCGAGAGATACTTTGGTGAGTGGGTTAGGTATTTTGCTGAGATGCCTTTCGGATTGATCAATGAAAGACCACCGCGATACAAAAGCTTCCAACAACACAAGTACTGCGATGTGAAAAGTTCATCTTGACTCGACATTTTTGCACCTTTTGGATCGATTAAAGGATGACCACCACAGTACAGTAACCGTCTGTTTTTTTATATACAAGGAAAGAAAGTCAGAAACGTCTAGAGTAATTTGACAATGATTTTTTACATTTTTGGTTTTCCAATTTGTCATAACTGGTCTTTGGATAGAATAGTTTTGTCGATTAGACAGTGACACCAGTTGTAGAATACGCATAATTTATAAACAGCATTGCTTTAAGAATGATCAACAAAATTATTTTATACGATGACCTTCTCGTATTAAGCTACATATAAGACAAAACTTTTTCAGAATAGGACATTTAGGCAGACCCAATTCATAGACACAACTCCTACATAGATATTTTCATTATGCATATTTATATACTAATAAATAGAGAAATAAACAATAAAAAAATTTCGAGAGGGAGGACTCTAGTTACTTCAAGTGCTATTTTGAAAAAAATTATTTTTCATTCTCATCTTTTATTTTCTACAATTCTACTAAATAACTCATTTTTGACTATTAGATAAAATAAAATAAAAGGTTAAGATGAAGAATAATTTTTTTATTGATACTCTCATAGTAATTTAATTCCTTTTCTCTCATGCATGCATATGAGCATTTAAAATGAAAATATCTCTTATGAGAAATGAAAAAAACTAATAACAACCTTAAATTAAAATAGATAATTTAGATCAAATAATTACAAAAAGATAAATATTATAAATATTTATCTCTATTTTTTTTATTGTGGATAATATCATTATCATCACATTACCACACTATTTCTATTACTTTTATTATCTTTGTTATTACTATTACCCTCACACTAACATTATCATTGTCATACCACCTACACCACTAATATTTTTATTATCATCACTACTATTACCACAACTCTATTATCATCATAATTGTTGCTATCATAATTATTCATCTCATTATTATTATCATTATTCTATAATTATTATTACTATCATTGCTATTACAACTTCCTCCACCACCGTTGTCAGACAAAAGCCACAACTGCACTACCATCACAATCATTTTTGTCGCAACCACCCTCACCACCACCATCTCACGGAAGGGACCACTGCAACACTCCACCATCCTCGCCACCATGTTCCAAAAAACATAGACGAGCTGAAACAAAATATTTTAATCAATATATTTTGCTTTCTAATATGAATAACTCAATACTCAATCATGAACCATGCTCACCAATCATTGTCTCTAGTCCCTAATTCATAATTCATAATTATACAAAATTACTGAGGTGAAAGGACCATTCAATGTTATGATAGGAGTAAGAAATTTTTTTCTCAAGTCTTGTATACTATGCTGATAAAGATAATCCCGACCAAGGAAGAAAACATTTCAAATTGTTAAGAAGTAATTCACTATCCATTTTTGACATTAAATGGGGTTTCGAGGGTTGACTCGAGGAAGTTTATCTCTAAATTTGGAAGCATTAGCTACTTTTGCTGCAGTTCTGATTTCTTCAACAGTTGCACACATCCTTGTCATACGCAATATTTTCTTGAATACTGCAAGTAAAGAGAACTAGTTCCTAGCTAATAACTAGGCCTATTTTCTCTCTAATCCATTTCAGTTGAAATTCTTTGAGGTTGATACTTGATACTTCACCTGACTGTGGAGCATAAAATCTCTCTATCAAACCAACAACTGTGGATTTCCCGCTCCCACTTTCTCCTACCAAAGTTTGTGGTATTGAAAGGGAAAATCAATTTAAGACTGTACGTATCAATCCATAACAATAACAATAACAATGAGACATTAATACAATGCCAAAAAGGTAAGACACAAACATTAATATTAATCCTATCTAATAACAAATTCCATACCAAAGTATCTATAACTCCAATTCCAAGCAATATTACAACTCGGCTGAAACACGATTCATTTTTTAAATGAGTATTTCAATGGAAAAAAAAAACACAATTGTTCTCACCTGAAGTTGATCGATAGCGATTTTCTTGGTGAGATTGATGAATCTCTTTTACTCCCGTGGGTGGCATGTTTCGAGGTGGAAGTGGTACCTGCAAAAAAGATTCTATACTTAAATTAATCTTTGTAATTGTGAGTATTGTTAATGATAAAAGACATAAATTTGGGAGCAAAACAAACTCTCTATATTCTCATTCATGTTGCAAATGAAATTACACTTATTTGTAGTTGAAAGAAAAACAGAACGTTTACATCTTTAAATGCCTCTCATAATTCACACTATTAATATTATTAAAACAAAATAAAACTCATAATTTAAGTTTCATAACAAGTATTTCATATTTCATATATATGTGCACGTACTTTAATGTTAATTATGGTTTTTTTCTCCTTATACGAATATCTCATTGATTAAAATAAGATTACACACTTTTCTTTTTATCTTATCGATTGGGGAATAATTTCTTTTGACCGATGTGATTGAATGATTTGAAGTCGAGATAATTTTGACGACCAAGGTTGATACTTGGTGTAGAAGGTACAACAATAATAACAATTTGTGAGAAAAATAACATATATATCGGTAGTCTGAAATTATTATTACATGTATCAAAGTTCACCTACTTAGAAGCAATGAAGATAATGACAGACAAAGGACTGAGTGCATTCTATATATGTGAGTTGTACTGCTAATGGATGATATACAACTATGGTGTAAATTCTTGACCTGAAAAATCACAAATTAACTTGTACGTAGTACATAGACAACATTGGCATATGTAAGTCATATTTATTTAAGCTAACAATGGAGAAACACTCGCACACACTCACACAGTAAACATTGCTGGAATTGTATACTGTTTATTTTACGCTATAGTATTACGTAGAAGGAATAGAATGGAATGAAATCAACTAATTCATTCCCACAATTATTATTTAAAATCATTATTTGGTGCCTTGTTATAGTTGGCTTTAACAAATTTTGAACTAAATTACTGTACCGCTCTTTTTTTTTTTTTGGGTTCATCTCCGTGAGTATCCACCGTCAATAGGAGTGACTAATTTCCTCGCTAAGAGGGAGGCACCACAAAGGGTACGATAACTAGCTCCAAGATTTAACGCGGCTGCATACACTGTTGGGTACAGCTGCACCGAAAGAAAAAAAACTTTCGGCAACCAGCAAATCCACATGCAAACCACCCAAAGCGCCACATTTTCATCACCCAACACAAAAACCACAGCTTTACCAACATGCAACCATCAAAACATGAAAATTCCAAATTTTCATCAAAACCCCAAAAAACCTGAAAACACATTTTTCATCAATCAAACCATCAATCTTCTAAAAGCAACCAGCACATGAGTTTCTAAACTCAAATCCAAACAACTAGCAACAAATCTAGCTTCCCTTACCTCAGTGGAGAAGAAATCCGAGTTCCGAGAAGGCGGAGGAGAAAAAGAAGAAGATGAGATGGCTTCGGTTCTCAGCAAGCTCCGTCTACTCTAAATCAGCACCTTCAACCACAGAGATCACCATAAGGAAAGAAGAATCAAGCAAGTGAGTGAGAGAATGGGGAACGAATAGAGTGAAAGTGAAGGTAAGGGTTGGTTGAGAGGGAAGGAGAAAAAAATGAACGGAAGGGTCTCACATAAATTATATTTTATATAGTTAAAAATTTATTCGAAAACAAGTTATTTAAATGGATATTATTTTACACTATATTATTTTTTTTCTTCAAATATGCGTTCTCATTATCGGTAACATAATCGACTATACTACTCAAAATAATGGATTATCCTACCTTATATTGCATTATGGTATTTTTAAGACGATTGCATAATCAATTATATCAATTACATAATTCAATTATGTTATTTTGGTATACATTCCAATATATCACCAAATAGACAATGATTTATCATAATTGATTATATACGGTGGCTCTCAATGCATGTTATTGTGTTCAAATTGTGTTAAAATTAGCACAAGTATAACAAAAGAAGCAATGGTCAAGACAGTATTGGTACTATGATTTTAAGCATGTTAAAATGAGTAATAAATATTATAAAAAAAACTAGTCAAGGCAATTTTGGCATCACCATTTTAAGCTTACGAAAATTTTGAAAAAATACATTTTTGGATGTATAATTTTTAATGCAATAGCTTTCAGCTAGCTGGTGGTTATTTACATGATGTATGATGAAGATTGAGTGTAATTCATTATATTTTGACCTATGATGATGATTTAGATTGCTTAATTGTTGTAAGTTGTTTACTGTGATAAGTTGCCTAATGTTTCAAGTTGTCTATTATTATAACTTACTTAAGTTGTATGTCATTTTTAAGTTGTTTTATAGTTGTATTAATAATAAATTTGTATGTTGTAAGTTGATATACTAGTTATGATGATAAGTTGTAATATGAATAATTATATTCATGTTGTTAAAGTTGAAAGTTGTATGTTGATTTAAAATGTTGTTCATGTTATATACATTGATCTATGAAGACAACATTTATGAGTGATACTAGCTGAAAGATGAATTAGGTTATATGTTGTTCAATTGAGTAGTTGTCTTGAATATGCTATATGTATGATATTGTTGTGCTGTTGAGATGATGAATGATGTTAATGCTTTAAGCATTTAGGCATGGTGTTAGAAGTTGAATTGTGTTGATCGATCTAAGGCTAAAGGAAAAGTTTTAAAATTGTATATCTCATTGGGTGGATATTGTGTTGTGATACTCAAAGAATCCAGATTGTTGAAAACCTTTCTTAGAAAGTTTACCCTTGAAGTGGAAAGTTGAATCTCCTTTCAGTCCTTAATCGATATGGAGTAAAGTATGAAGTCGAGGACTACCACTTTTAACTAACTACTAGAGAGTTTGTATGGTTCCTTACGAATAGTTAGTGGCTAAGTCCATAAGTGTCTTGATAATGCATGTTAAGGTTATGGTACACCTATACTCAATTATACTAATCCTAACATTGAAATCAAACTTTTTTAGTTTAAGTGTTGACATCTGAGAAACCATGTCTATTTTATTGATCGATATCCAAATTTGTTATTGATTTAGTAAGGCCAAAAAGAGCATATGTGTTGATTGGTTCGATTGAGTTAAGTCATTTAGATTGTTCACCTATATTGTAAAAGATTTATTAGTTGAAATGCGTGACGACACATATAGTTGCTTTGTTGTGCATTTGATGTGTTAATTTCGTTGTGTTGTTCATATGTGGTGTTGATTTGTGATGAAATGTGGTGATCTTGTATTGTTTAAGTTGAGATTGTGTTATTGTGTTGTAGTATAATGAGTTGTTATGTTTGATGTTGGGTAAATATGAGATGCAATAATGCACCTTGTTATTCCTATGTAAAGTTGACAAATGTTAACGGTGTGGTGATGTTGGACTTAGTTGAAAAATGTGATAATATGAGTGTTGTTCATAATTTGAGTTGTTTATGTTGACTCTTTGAATTCTAGCTTACCATTATTTATTTCCATATGATTTGAACTACGATAATCATATAAGAACATAGTAGGGATAGGTTTATGAAAATGTGCAATGGAGGTCACCTTGTGGTGTCAGAGTCAATGTTACCTTTTGAGGCTACCTCTTGGTAGTCATTATGTAGCCGTGCTTAACTAACACTTAGGAATATTTTGATCATATTGATTACTATACAATTATATAAATATACATGAATCATGTTGTTAGTATATGTAAATATTCATGTTTATAGTAACTATCAAATATTCATTTTATGTGTGGTGATTTCCTTAGTTAGAATTAATTATGTATTTGTTTTTTGTTGTTTGTTGTTAAGTTGTTTAAGTGCAAGGATCATAATAAATCATTACAATTATAAATTTTAGTTATATATAATAAATATCTAGCATATACATTGTATAGGCTAATATAATAATTTATAATATATTTTACATATAAAAATACTATATTTCAATGTATATGCTATATTAGATTAAAATTTATAGAAATAAATATTTTTGAACACGAAAAAAAATTATATTTGTGAAAAGTATTTTATATGAGTTAATTACCTATACACTACTAGTATAAAGTTTTTTTACATTGGTAACCAATTATATCTTTTAATTGTGTCATGTCACTGTAAACACATTTATTTTTAACAATGACATGGCACAATTAAAAGATATAATTAGTTGCTAGTGTAAAAAAAATTTACACTGTCAGTGTATAGGTGATTAACTTATTTTATATTAAGATAAAATTATTTTTAATTATTATAATTTAATAAATTGAATTTATATATAAAATAGATATGATAAATACAAATAAGATAGGTAAGAAGTTAAAAAAAATATTATAAACCCTCTTACTAAAAAGAATTATCTTGAAAGAGAAGTCTATAAAAACGTTATCACATAATATAGTCATTCATAGTTAATAAAATGAATAAATTTATCTCTCTCACACACACATATATATATAACATATAATTTATACATTTAAAAATATTTATTTATTAAATCATTACAATATAATCTATATTAAAAAAAACTTAGTTATATAAAATTAATATTTATCCTATGCTTTTGAAAATATTAAAGGAGAAGTTTATATACAAAATGAAATTGTATATCATTTTCGTTAACACATAATTCAAAAATAGACATCATTCAGAATATATGTAAAATTAGAAGAGAAAAAACATAAAGTATTATGTTCACATAAAAACAGCTCAAAAATGAAAATGATGTTTTCTCAACCACGTGTAAAGAAGGAATGGTGTGCGGTGAGAGAGTTAAAAAAAAAAATTTATAAGTGATTTTATAGTGTGAATAAAGAAAAATTGAAAAAAAAAGTTTTTTTTTTAATTATCATTTTACTTAAATTTTAATTTATATGACACTTCTATAAATTGATTTTTTTTCTTTAATTTTTTCACTTTATTATTTTAGTAATGTGACACTATTATTGGTATGATATATAACATAACATTATACTAACTTAATATATGATGATGTCATTTTTTATTAATTTGACTCGTGGCAAAGTTTTTATAATGAATTCTGATTGTAAAAATAGAAAAATGAAATGTTTAAATTTTATATAAATAATTTCTATAAAAAAAATAGTGTCAATAAAAATGTTAAATTACGTGAAAAAGTTATATTTAAGCTAGAAATATTTATAAAAAAATACTACTATTACTAAAAGAGACCAAAATTGATAAGGGAAGGAGAAAAAAAATCCTCTTTTGGTTAAGTTAAATAGCATGGTTTGGAGAAAAAAAAGGAAAAGAAATGTGTGTTTGGGGTGGGTGAGAAGGAAAAAGAAGAGAATAATGAGTTAGAATTTGTGTGTGCTAGGAATTTAGTGTGATCAGCTTTTGAATTTATCGGTAAATGGTGAATTATCACTGCCGTTAAGCAAAAGATCTGCAGCTGCAGTAGCTGTTTGTTTGGTTGGAAACCCCATAACTCAACTCTCACTCTATCTATTCCTTCTGTTTCTGTTTCTGTTTCTGTCCATTCAAAGTTCAAACCCCAACTGCCTACAATCTCCAGGTGACGTAACACATTTTCATCACCCAACACAAAAACCACAGCTTTACCAACATGCAACCATCAAAACATGAAAATTCCAAATTTTCATCAAAACCCCAAAAAACCTGAAAACACATTTTTCATCAATCAAACAAGGCAGGATTCGAGCTCATGATCTTGCTTAAGCATGAATCAACCCCTACCGCTGAACCACACACTTGAAGTTAATTTCTTGCTCTTTTATTTAGTTACGTGCTTTTAGTTTAATTATTTTGAATATTGACATTACATTAACTAAATTTCTCTATACCTTAGGTTATATCATCTCATTAATTACCTGATATATTAGTAATAAAATTCTGTTTCAAAAGAATTAAATAATTACTAGGCATCAATCTTTATACTTAAAATCAGATAATTATATTTAAATATGATTTTTTATCTTAAAATGAATTTTCTTTCAATCATTTCATAAAATTAATTAATTTAATTATATAATGTTTTGTTAAGTATTTAATTTAAGAAATTTAGTTTAATAACATATTTTATTCACTTATTAAAATTTTAATATATATTTCCAACAGATTTTCATGCAAATTTTAAATCCACAGGAAAAAATTTCTTGCCAATTTAAATATCGTACAAAGAAATTTCGTTGAAAATTTGTCAAACAATTTACTTGTGATTTTTTCTATGATTTTATTAAAATAATATCAAACTTTTCTTGCAGTTTTTTTTACAAGAAAAATCGCAAGAAAAAAAGAAAAATTCTTGGCAATTTTTCTGTAAATTTTCATACGTAACAAATAATCCTATATATTTTTAGTATTTTTACAACAAAATTCAAAAATAATTTCTGCGGGATTTTTTCTAGTAGTGTAACTTGAAATAAGAATTGTCTTTTAAAGAAGTTAAAGTGAACATTCTAACATGAAATGAGGGTTCACATTCAACGAATTAAAGAAAAAGAAAAAAGAAAAAAAAGTTAACCAATTAAACAAGCACATAAATCACTCCACAGTTATTAAAAATGTCAATGAGTTGATGTTGAAAGATAAACATAGAACAAACACAGTGCTGGGCAAGACTAAATAACAAAGATAAAATCTCCACCTGCAACATGTGTTCCATAATACTATTTATATATTTTGCTTCTATATATGCCTATAAGTTATAACCTATTCATCACCCTCAGGTTAATTAACTCCATTCTGGTTACCATCATTTATATTTCACTCTATTAATTAATTAATCACAATTCATTAAAATCTCAAAATCCGAGTCCAACAAATCAAAGTCGAAATCAAAAGATGGATTCGGCTCCTCAGTAACGTTATCGGCGACCTCGTTAGCATCTTGAGCAGCAACAGCGTCCGGGGGCGCCACCGACGCGGAAGGCGAAATGCCGGTGCCGGTGAGGGCGATAATGGAGGGCTCAGCCATGCGCAAGAGCCACTCAATGGTCTCACCATCAGTCTTGTAACCTAACTCACGTGTGAGTTGGAAGACACGTGCAGCACATATTGTTGACAAACGAACACGACGATCTCTTCCATTAACCTTCGAGTGACGATCCCTCTTGTCCACTCTCCCACCACGTTTCTTGTTCTCCATCACTGCATCTTCATGTCCCTTCTCTTCACTATTCATCTTATTATCTGACTCCATTGAATTCATTTTTAATAATCTTTCATTCTTCTACTTTTTATTTATATACAGTTTCTCTAGGATTATAAATGTTTTTAAGAGTTTTTTCATCTAAAATACACGAAAAACTCTTTAAAATATTTATAACTTGTATTTAAATAGACTCGTAAATATTGAAGACTCACAGATATTCTTATTAAGTATGTTATTTATTACACTATATATTATATCCTGGTATTCTATTACACTCTCACTAATAGGGAGTTGACTGTAGTGATTTTGTTCAGATGATTCCAAATGAGAATTAATCAAGGCCAGCTCATGATCATAGATTGAATATTAACTATCTATGTCACTTGTTTATGGTTAGTCATTAATGCTCTTTGTAACTCCTATGATGCCATTTGCCACCACTCATTTGAAACTTGGTGCGTTATGTTTCAATTCAATTTGGCCTATTAAGGAGTATAAGGCTAAGGCATGACAAACTAGTTGAATAAGGCATGGCTTCCAGGTTGCAGCAACTGGTGCTACTATAGTTCAAATTGTCTTCTCCAATGGCGTGTAACAACTTGAATCCATAGTTTTAAAAACCGGACCGGTCATCGAATCGGTTAAGGTACTGGTCAGTGGGTCAAAGGTTGAACCAGTTGGTCACTAGTTGAACCGCATGATTCGATTTTTATTTATTTTTATTAAAAAATATTCATATTAAATATATTTTATATTTATAAATTTTAATAAATTCATATCTTATTTTAAATTTCAATTTTTCTATCTTATTTAAAATTATTTTTATTTTTATTTTGTAAAAAAATACATAAAAAAATTACATGTTAAACGGTATATTAATACAAATTAAAAATATAAATAATATGTACATATATAATATGCTTGCAATTAATATCACAAAATAATATATGTAATATTTACATAGATATTGCATTATTAAATATATAATTTAAAATTAATAATATACTATAAAAGTTATTTAAGTTATATATATTATAAACAAATACATTAGAACAAGTAGTCATTGTTATATTTAATAAGAATCTTTGTTTTTCCATTAAGAGATTCAATTTTCATTATTATTTTTGTAGTTTATGGTCTCTTAAATTTTTTTAAAAAAAATATTAAAAAAAAGTGGTTGAACTGGTTTGACTCACCGGTTCACCGGTTGAACCGAAAAATTGACGGTTCAATCCGGTTTGAAACGGGTCAACTGCATAACCGATCCAACTTACGATTCAGACCGGCTGGACCACCGGTTCCCAGTCCAACCGGTCCGACCGGCCAGTTCGATCCGGATTTTTAAACATTGCTTGAATCCACTAACGTCGATCCTCTCCCTAAATATCCTCCATTCTATTTGTAAAATATTATTAATTAAAAAGATTCTTAATTAAATTTCCTCAAATTTTATCATTTTTCACGTAGCCTAATCCAATTCTATATATTGAGCCTACGATTAATTGATAAAAGTGGAGTCAACTTAGAAATTATTTACCTGAATGAGACTTTCTAATACTAATCACCATGATAGCACAATCAACATTGGAAAACACTAGCCAAATTGGCCTTTTATTTTATTTGTTACTATGATCATAGACAAGTTAGACTTATTTTCCTAGCCAAATTAAAGCCTGGTGTGACACAATCCTCATGATCGTAGATTGATTATATATATATATATCCTTAATAATCAAGTTATCTCTTATCTATTTATTAATTTTGTAAAATTAAATAAGATTAATTTTATAAAATTATCAAGATTTTTCATTTTTTTTTGTTTAGTCTTTGTAAAACAACACCTCGCGATGACAATCATTTTAAGACGGAGGAGGGAGGGGTATATATATTATCTTTTTTCTTTCAGTGAAAAGCTAATATCTGAAGAACGACTCAATAAAAACTTTTGACGGAGACTCTTTCCCGCAACATCTATAAATATTTACTGATCGAATGCTTACTTTCATAGTACAATTAAATATTTGATTCTGGAAGCAAATTGTATCCGCGCTTTACCTTAACATTATTAATGATATATTTTATATTTGTATTGGCTCACCAAAACTATACATACACCTTCTATCCTTGTCTACTCATTTCATATTTGAGTCTATACTCATATTTCAGAAATTTTCTGAGTCAAACCAATATATGGGCACGGGTATTAAGTGTTTATGGCTAGTTCGTGTTAATATATTTATATTTGGACTCACAATTTACATTGAAGATAGATGAACTATATTTTCTTTGTAATGAATCTAAATATCTAACTTTATAATTTAGTAAAATTGAAAATATTATTTAAATATTAAAATTAAATATAAAAATTAATACAGTGAAGAGCATTAATTAAAAATATAACATCTTACTCAATTGAAAATTTTAATAGTGTATTTGGTTGAAAGATTTTGAGAAAGTAATTCATTTTTTTTGGTGAATTTGAAATGATTTAGAATGAAATGTTTTGATTGAATAAGAAATTTATAACGAAATTAAAATTTAAATATTTTTAAAATTCTTTAAAATTGTAGAATTTCAAATAGTTAAAAATATAGTAAGAATTTAAAAAAAAATTAATATATTTTCTCACTTGTTTCATCTATGTCTTTTGTCTCTCCATTCTCCCTATCATATCTTTGTTATCTTCTATCTTCCTTCCTGCCTTACGATAGTAGCAGTACAGTATTCCACATGGACTACAAGTGATATTTTTAAATCAAAATTGAATTAAAAGAACAAATGACGTGGAAGAGAGAAAACGTTGACTACCTCAGATTAATCAAATGCTTCAAAAGAGTTGTTGGTAAAACTACCCTACATCGGTCAATTAGCCCCGAGATGCTGCTCCCAACATGTTAAATCGTCACATGACAGCCGAGGCCATATCTCATATCTGTATTATGTGAGATATTCATTTATTAAATGTCCTTTAATTTTCAGTCCATGAAAGGAAGAAAAAAATCCCATTTCATAGAAAGAGTTGGTGTTTATTTAGATATCACTTTACAATTACTTAAAGATATTCAAAGTTCTTCTGGTCCGAGAATGCTCTTGTACAAAATAAATTCGAACCTTGAATTCAAAAAGATCAAAGTAATCTGATAATATTAAACACTAAATTAGCACACATACCGGGCCAGCAAACTCCAGTCCTCTAATTCCAGCCACATATATACGAGGCCAAGTCCACTTATGCAAAGGATTCATGATTATTTGCATTTTAAGATCTGGGAACTTGGAAGAAGTGTAAACACCACCTGTATTCTTTTGATATTCTGCATAACAAATTAGTGGTAAAACAAAACACCGTGGTTCACCAAAGTAATGTATCACGCTGCTCATTTCAATGGTTTTTTTTCCGACATCTCTTCATCACAATTGCGTGGAAGAGTAAAATCTGGCACCTCCTCAATATCATCTGCAGGCTAATAGTGGGAGATATGCAATAAATGTGGTCACTAAAACAAAACAAAAACAAGATAAAAATGTAAAACGCATCCAAGACCACCAGCCTACCTGCCAAAGTTCCAATAGCTGCCATAACAAGAAACCAACTATCATAACCAAGCAAAACAACTTGCCGGCCCACGCTCCACAAAAGAGGTAACTAAAAGAACATAGACTGTCAGAGCATTGGAGGTTCCTAATTGGTATTGCAACTATCAACTATGTGTTGCTATTACCATCAAATTGGACCAATATTGTTTATAGACTTAGAGAGTACCGTGAGAGGCGTTCCAGTAGATTTTGATTGGAGCACTTCAAAGCACGATCATATACAATTTCAGTCCTTTTGGCAACATCATGCCAATTGTAGAGTTCTCTCATCTACAGAAACAACATAAATAAAAAAGGAACTAATTTCCCCACAAAAATGCATCAGAAAGACCATTTAACCAATAAACTCACTCGATTATGCATGACTTTTGGATCAATTTTGGGCAGCATAGCTATTGCCTTTTGAATTGCATGCACCATATCACTGGGATCAGGTTCTGCCAAAACAATCATTTCATCTGGCAAAACCTACAAAGCAAAGAAGTGATCTGGTATCAAGCCCCTCAAGAAAGAGTTTTAACATTATGGAATTGAAAAGAGACTGAAGTTCATAAACAAAATTCTTAGACAAACTATATAAAAGGCACATATTCTCATAATAAGCAGGTATAGAAGGAAAATTTTCACATCTACCTCAGGAACTCCTCCAACACGTGTGCTGACTGTTAATAATCCACAACTTGCAGCCTCTAGAATGGCTATACAAAAGGCTTCTGTTAAGGAACTGAAACAATGCAAACATTATTAATGATTAAAAATAGATATGCAGTCGAGCATTGTAACTGTTGCTTACTTTGAGAACCCCAACATCTCACAATGAAAGAAACTCAAGTATCTAGGACTGCTCAACGTCCAGAATTAGAGATCAAGATTATACATTGATTGTTGTAACTTGTAAAACTTGAGGAAAGGAAAAATTTGCTAAGAAAACCAAACCTGTTTAAGAAGATGTGCCCAGATATTAGAACAGATCGGACTTGTACATGTTGCACAGCTCCCAACATTTCAACTCGATCTTGAAGAGAATGCTTTTCTCTCATCTCTTCCAACCGCACACGCTTAGGTCCATCACCTCCAATAATAAAACGAACCTTCAAATGGATATATAAGTTATGCCTTTGCAAGTCTGTAATTACAAATAAAGAAACTAATCCAAATCATTCTTGTAGCATTACATATTTCTCTTGGTGCTGGTATCCTGTATGAGGAAATTTATAAAGTAATGTATGCCTAAAAAGACCAATGACAGAGCTATACGTCAACAAATTAAAAGTTCAAATCACAGTGCAGACACATACTAGACTACATCAATAAAGTTTTAGTTCAGCACTGATATTAGGATTAACACCAAAGATTAAGAATATACATTTGGTAAACATATACAGAAAGCTCGTTCTAGAGAATTTATCAAAGGTCTAGTACTGGGTACATTGGTAAAAGTACCATACAAATTACAATATTCAAAAGCAATGCCTATATACTAACTGTCTGAATGCAGCCCAAAGTAATTAATTCATATATTTTTCTCCCTTAATCTTTTCAGAGTGAAATTACGGGCGTATAGATCCTTCTCTGTCTATTTAAGCATAAATTTTGAAATTAGATGATCTCTCACGCATGTTGTATTTAACTGATAAAAATTCATTGATAACAATCAATAAATGACAAATGACAAATTAAGCAAAAATATTATTTTAATAATGTTCTTCTGTGCCGTATGTAACTCTTCGTCATGAAAGTAAGATCAACATCATCTGCAGTAAAATCCCCATTCCTTTTCCTAAGGTCAACATGAATTCATCTCCCACATGAAACGAAATGGGGTCCTATTTTCCATCAATTTTTCTCAGGTAATTCTCTAATTATCATCAGAAAGCAATGTGGAAATCACTCATCAGGGAATGCTGGATAAACTATTACATTATCAGGTTTTTTCTTTTATTATTATTATTATCAGAATATTTTATAACAGCTTCTCTGAAGTACCACCAAATAAGTGATTGCTAAAACAGAGATTGTTCAATAGATAGCACAATATTAGGAATTAATAATGCTAGAATTTAGGAAAAGGCACAGGTTCTTCATGTATTGCATAAATTTGATATACCCACTGCAGCTTTGAAACCAATCCTTGGGCTGTTCCCAAAAGCATCTATGATTTGTACAGAGCAACAAAAGAAGCACCACAAAGAAATTTTACCAAACTAAAGTTTGCAACTTTAGAAACAATAATATAAAGCCAAATTTCTTAGTTATGCAAGACAAACAAACAATGCTTGAACAACTCACATTAGGATGTAATCGGCATACTTCTGGAATGACTTCAACAAGCAAATCAACTCCCTTCCGATAAACCAACCGGCTGATAACAACAATAACAATTTCCGGTCCACAAGGACGATCCACTGCTGGCTTGAAAATGGCAGTGTCAACAGCATTAGGTACGACAAAAACCTTCTCCGGTGGCAAACCTGATCGCAGCACTGTGTTTTCCTTGCTAGTATGAGAAACACATATGGCTTGACTCACATCTGCCAAAGTAAACTGCAGCACCTTGTTCATGTGGATGCTTCCAACATCAGAAAAACCATACAGTGAATGATCTGTAAACACAACCTTGTATCCCATTGTTCTTGCATGCATAAGAGCTTCATGACAAAATGTTGAAAAGGCTTGATGTCCATGGACCACTGTAATTCTTTCTCGAATAAGAATAGTTCTTATAATTGGTAGCAATCCATAGATGGTCGGTAATGTATTCTGCATAACAAACGGCTTCCATGGAACATAGTAGACTTTCAGACCACCTGTCATGTATCTAACCCCAGATCGACTTCCATAAGCATGAGTTACAACCACCACCTGAATAGCCATTTTATTTGAATTGACATCATTAAAACAACCTTAGCATAAGTAAGAAAAAAGAGTAAACTAATGTCGTTCCCTTATATTTTGGATTTCCTATAGTAAACCTCCCATCTCCATCTATAATAGAAACCTACACAAAACTCTCATGTGCAACGAAATCCCAAATGCAACTAAGCCTGGTAAATTTGCTAACTAAGTGCCCACTTGGTTTGCAAGCAAAACATTTTGGGCACATGTCTCATCCAACAATTCAAAATCAATTCTACCAAATATAAAACAAATAGGCACTAAACAGTTAGCTATTGCTAGTTTGCTGAATCCGGATAACCTGCAGTCAGCATTTACACGCATTCACTTAGTAATTTGGAACCGTGGATTAAGTTCGGATGATTTTCATATTTTATCTCGGTAAATCAGATTTAATACACAAATTTGGGAGTGAATCCTTCTGTTCTTCATCAAACAGTTGCAAAAAACTGATTTCATGAATGCGTGTAATTTGGGACTGCATTAAATTTAAATCCATTTCCCTAATTTGCTTAGCCTTTAATGTCTAAAAAAGGGGAAGACGGCATTTGTTTTGGCATAAGCTGATATTGAATGAAAGAAAGAAAGAAAAAACATTGGCTGACCTTGTGGCCTAACTCGAGCAAGCATTGCGAGAGATAATATATGTGATTCTCCACACCGCCAAAATTGGGATAGAAAAAATCTGAGACCATCAGAATTCTATGTTTTAGGGAATCAGGCACCATGTTCCCTCACAGAGAGATGGGTGCATAATAGAGAAACGCGTAAATGATCTGCAAACCCTAATAGAATGCAGAGACTCACAGCTACTTACTGCTTCTTTCTTTGCTCTGCTCTCCGCTTTATTTATTCAAACCCCTTTTCTGATGCCTCACTCAACAATCATCAACGACTTACCACAAAAAGAATTTTACAACCCAAACCAAATTTAAAGAGCCATGGTAAATATAGAAGCTTGCTTTCAATCGAAAAGGACACAAAATATTCAAGTAACACCAACATTTTCAACCTACCAATTTTTATCTATCAAAATAAAATATTACATGTGTTAATTGACATAATTAAACAAAATATTTTTTAAAATTAAAATAATTTAAATTTTAACAATTTTAAAAAAAAAAATCATCTAAACACAATAGTAAAGAAAATTAGACCAAAATTTTAAAAAGAATTATATATCAACAATCCACCGTTGAGCCTCATCCGATTTAAGTTTATTTTAATTTCTAACTTTTCTCTTTTTTGTTATTGGGTTGTTTATGGGCTTATTGTGCTTTGCAGCAAAAAACAATGTTTGGGTTATTTATATCAGATGGCTGGGCCTCATGACCAAAAAAGAGAAACCAATGTTCCTTCCTTGTATAGATTATGTGCGCTTCATGGCCGAAACAAAAAGCTTAAGAGCTTAATTTCTGAGTTGTGTTAAAATAAAAATAAAAACAAAATAAATAAATAAGGAAATGAAATAAAAATAATTAAAAAAAGGATCAGGAATAGGAATAATCAAATAACAGTAATATTCATAAAATAAGATTGAGCTTTATGCTTTTATTTATAATTAAGTTGGATGGTTTAAACACAAAGTTTACATTAATTTAGTCGAAAGGAGGAATAATATTGAGTCATGTTTTCAAAAGTTAGTCGAAACTCATCTTTATCTAAACTCGGGTTTTTAAGGGAGACTTGATCATTAAGTATGTATTAAAATGATTTATAAATGTATGTCAAAAACATCAATTAGAAAGTGAGAGAAGTCAACAAAAAAAAGTGTAGTAAAACGAATGAGAAACATAAACGATGAAGACTTATCATGTATGATGTCCAACCATAATCATTGTTTTAATATATAGTAAAAACATTTATTCCTTACATTCTAATTTTTGTTTCTACGTATTAAAATTATAAGTTTTTGATTTAAATTCTTGAAGATAAATATGGAAATCAAAATAGTTATTACTCTTTATTTGTTTCTTATTGTGAAGTTATTTAAATTTTCAAACGTATAATTACGTTTTTAATTATTGAGAATTTACATATTTCTTATTTTTATTATACAAAGACAATTCATTTTAAACATTTTAATAATTATTTTTCCAATTACATAATTCTTATAATAATAAATAATGTGAAAATAAAATTGAGTTTGATTATACATAAACACACGGTTTACGGTGAAATTAGTTTATGGATTCTTTTTATTCGAACTAGCACAAATGGTGTTTCAAGTTAGGTATTTAATGTTTTTAGACGTGAAGAATAAAACACCGAACAGAAAGATTAATAATTACTTGTTTCCACATGTTCATCAATGATTAACAAGCAATAATGTTCATGAACGTAAACCCTCAAATAAACAGAATGAACGATACATATATTTGCAATACAAATCATGTTCACATCACCTTAACGAGTTACAATTATAAAGCTATATGACTACGTGATAAAAAGAAAAAAAGACAACAAAACTAATCCTAATCCTAAAAAGAGAAAAGAAATGTGGCCAATAAATGGTCATACCTAGAAGTAATTCCTTGCACGAAAGCCATATGCGCAGGCGGTGAATGCTTGAGAGTTCAAGTATGATTTTTCTGACCTTTGTGAAGGTACATAACTCTTGTATTTATAGAGTCAATCAAGAGCGGTTCGTGCATGTACGCCATTAGAGGATAACCGCTATCCACTATGTTTATTACGTGACTTTAAATCGTAACTTTTCATAACCGTTCATCCCACGTTTCAACTTTCTCGATTCGACCTTTAATAACCACCTTAGTGCGCCTTAACTGTCAGGAACTTCCAGTAACTTCTTTTTCCGCTTTTTCGAGCTCTATTCGACTATATCCCAAGCACAAACAAATAAGACTCGTGATAAGTTCTCAATAGGTGTTGATTTTTATCTTTCTTTCGAGCAGCTTCTTAAATGTGGCCTTCGACTTATATCACTATTTAGATGGAGTTAAGAGACGGTGTTGCTCAAAACATGAATATAATATAGCCCACAAGTTTGACTATGTGTCGACTATGAGTGAATTATTTTCTTTTATTTCTATTTGAATAGGGTTAGAAATTGACATTTAAAATTAAAATCGCGAGTCACTCAAAATATAAATATAATATGACTCATGTACGCCCAAATAAAATTGAATTCAATTTTTTAAGTTTTCAGAATTATATAAGAATAAAAATAATGTAATTAGGAGAGGAATTCTAATACGTGTGGTCGCATAATTGGTAAATAATTCACACAATAACATGTTAAAACTTTGTAATTTTTTTAAATAAGACTAGTGTAACAAAAATTATGTGCACAAAAATAAGATGTGGTAAATTTTTTAAATTTAAAAAATGACTTAAATATATCTATAATTTATCAAATTAAAAGTAAATTTATTTAGTTCTTTAAATTTAAAACTAATATTTTTAGTCCTATAATTTTCAAGAATTTTGTTTTAAGCTTTATACTCAATATTTATTAGAAAATCTATGAAATATTGTCATATAAAATCTATAAGTATTTCTTTTAGTTAAATATTACATTGTACCCAATTAATACTGCATAATTGTTTCAATCTATCATTTTTAAATATATTATTGGTGATTCAAAAATTTAAAACAAAATTTTTAAAAATTAAATGACTAAAAAACAGTTTTAAATTTAAGAGACTAAAAATAAATTTATCTTAAATTTGAGGATTAAAAATATATTTAAATAAAAAATTATAAAAATAAATAAGTAATAATCTAAAATAATTAAAATTTGTAAATAAAAATATGGATAAATAAATGATATTGCCAATAGTCACATTCATTAATATGTGTAATTATAATTAATAAAATTATTTATATGGAAGTAATTAACAAACTAAGTTAATAACAAAGTATATATAGGCAAAAGGAAATAGCAATAAGGGGTTATGTTTAGGGATAGTAAAAGTATTTGTACTCGCAGGTATTTGCGGATAAAATTCGTTACGGATAATAAATAAATAGGTTAATTGGGTATCTGTAGAAAATGGGAATGAATAATTTTTTACCCGTTTATAAACGGGACGAGGCGCGGGTATGATGATATTCATACTCGCGAGTACCCGTTTAATAATATTTCTTAAATATCCTAATTATTCTTGTACTACATAAGCCTAAAACTACACTCTCTCATCTTATTTTCTTATAAAAGTGAGGTTGATAAAGTTACCAACATGTATTAAACATGTTATAGAATTATGTTAGATGTAATTTGATTAAATTTTTAGCTTTGATTGGACCAATAAGATTTACGTATTTTAAGTTGTTTATTTTTGTTTGAAATTATGAAATTGAATTATTGTAGCTTTGTGATACTAGATTTTTACTTACTTGTGAGATTGATGTATTTTAAGTTATTGAGTATCTTGCATTTTTATTATTATTTTAACAAAATTAATATTAAATACAAGTTCAAAATTAACATTGAATTTTTATTTTTAATATTTCAATAACATTAAATATAAACTTAAAATTATTTGTAATATAATTTTTTAATTTTTTAAAAAATTTATAAATATTCATAAATATCTGTGAGTATTTAAGAAATTCATAAATACTTACTTAATAGATACTCGCACAAATATATGATAATAATAAAATCAATTTTCATTCGACAAGACCAAAACGGATTTACTATTACCTGTTACTTGTGATCCATTGCCATCCGTTATGGCCTGCACAAATGCCATAAACGTGTCTCAATTGCTTAAAGAGCAAAAGTAAACCCCACATTTGAAGGGGTCCACTACCATAAGACCACCTATTAATTATTAGTACAACTTCAGAATTTAATACTTCGAGTTGTATATATACATCTTTTGACGGTTGACATCTTAACGGGCATTTGGATGAATTTTTAGTGTCATCAATTCCTCCATCTATTCCTCCAAAAATAGCAAGCGAAAGTTCTTCCAAATACACAGTAAGATTTTCATTTATATATAAAATATTAATTGATAAATTGGATCGAAATAGGTTTAAAAGATTACTATCTAAAATTATATAAACTAATATATTATTGTTTTTAACCTAATAAGCAAGTTACCAGTCATCCTAAATTTACTAGTTTTAATAATCTTTTATAATATTTTTCATTATTTTAATATCTTATATATATAATATAGCCCTTTCTGTCTCAAAAATTTTTCTGTACTCTCTTCTAATTTATTTAATTGCTGGATTTAATGATTTTCATTATACAATTAGATAACTTAGTTCTATAATTTTTTTTTTTCTAATCGCATAATTTCATTGATATATCTTAGTTTCACTGTTTCATTATTAGTATTCTTAATCTTTTATATCTCTCTATAATAACTTGACATTTTTTTATAATTATCTTTTCTTTTTATCATAGTTGTTTATTTTATATAAATAGTTGTTAAATCGTCAAAATGTAACATTAAAATGATATTCATTGATGTTTTGATTTATTTTATTAATACTTTGACAATACTTCACTTGTTTCATTAAGTGTGCAGTAAACAAGAAAATTATAAAGGAAATGAAATTTAGAAAAAAATCAAGCAAAATTGAAGTTTGATAATATGCACAACTATGCTTCAATTAAAGCATGTCCAGATGCATGATTATGATAAGGTTGTGCTTCCTTCATAATGTAAACAAACACGCCATTGTATTATTGAAACATACTTGTGTCCTCTCTTTTTGTACTAAAAAAATACATAAGCACAATCAAACATCCCATATGCATAGCCATGTTTTAGAGTTTTCTTTAGATTTTGTCTACTATAAATATTGGTGTCTAAACACATTTTAATTATCTTATTTTTATCTACTTTTCTCTTGCCCTTGGTTTTAGTTTTCTCTTATCTTTTATTCATTATTGAGGTATGCAAAAGAAGGTCAAGCCCTAGAAGAAGAATTCTTCCAATTACATTAATTATTTTCCTTTGTTTAATGGTTATAACATC